GCTGAGCTTAACAGATTGAGCCACCCAGGCGCCCCAGAAGTGCTCCTGTTTTAGAGAGAGCCAGCAAGGAGAGTCTGAGCAAGGGACAGTTCAGAAACCCAGGGTGAAGTTGTTACGGAACCTGGACTGGATCGCCCATTGGAAGAACCAAGCGGCACCCGGAGATCTTGGAGGAGAGGAGGTTTATTTACTGCCAGCAGGCTCAGAGGAGAGTGGTCTCCAAAGGTCTGAGCCCTGAGCACAAAGGGGGCAATTTATACACTTCTACTTCCGCATACTTGGCACTTTTGGCGCTTGAGCAAAGCGGGGCAGGGAGAAGAACCCAGAAGAGCCCGAGGGCAAGGACTGGGACTCGCTCGCTGGCTCGGTTGGCCATCTTAGGACACGGAATTTCCATAGCAAAGTGAAAGAGTGAGATACGTGAATATCCTGAGCCACAAACATCCCAAAGCTTATTCTGTTATCAGGAAAAAAAAAATTAGAAACCCTTTTTGGTGAGAAACAGTTCTAAGTAATAAGCTGTGAAGTCACCTGGACCTTCCCCAACGTGGTCTTCTAGGATTCTGCAGCCCAGTGCCAGAACTCTGTTTTCTCCTTCTCCCTCATCGCTTCTGTTCTCGCGGGCAGGGCAGAGTTCTGAGAACACACACACACTGAGCTGGGACCTGTGACAGGGAGTGTCACCAAAATACCCCCAGTTTCCTCTACGTCCTTGGCCCCTTTCTTCCCCTGCTGCAGAATTAGATACCCAAGAGTCGGCCAGCGGTGCTTCCTCTTCTTTGTCCCCCTCCCCCCCGCACCTGTTTCCAGCCAAACTCCCCACCTCATGGTGCCCCTCTAACTACACGAAACGCCACCCTGAGGGTCCCCATTCGACCCTGTGCCTCTAGCCCTCGGGGGAGGCTACCTCCTGGACATTTGCTCCTCTGCTTTATCAAATCATTTATCCAGGTTGACATGTAAAAATACCGCAAGAGAAAAAAAAAATTAAGGCTTGAGAGTTAACTAGGATCTAATCATGGCAGCACTTGAATGTTGAGGCAAAGCACAGGTTGCAAACCCCAATGCACAGCAGGACGAAGCATGAATACCAGAATATGAGGAAGGTCTGTCAGACAGTAAGAATCAAGCTTGTTATGTTTCCCTTGAGAATAACACTTGTGTGGGTGCATTGCCCTTTAATGCACTAGGATCTAAACAACCAGGCAGAGCACGAGAGAGTCCCTGTGGCGCATAGGCTGCCAGTCGGCCCCCCCATGGTCTCCACATGGGGATCCGCATCTCTGTGTAAACAGGAGGAAACCACGGTAAGGTTTGAGGCTGGGAGTGGTATGATCAAGCAGTAGTGTAAAGGATGAATCTGCTGCCTGGCATCAGACCAGTAAACTGCCGGACCTGGCCTTGAGGAGCCACAGAGACTTACTTGAAGGCCATTGTGAGGAGTACAGAGGACCTAGACTACTTTAATGACTGTGGGAATTTTTTAAAATTTGGATCGAAAGAGAAAGAGATCGAAAGTGCAGAATCAAAAGGACTTCGTAACAAGCTGGAGAGGGACAGAATCAAAACAATTATATGGTCCAGTCACAGATGATGGAGGAGGGCTTGAAGCAGGGGTGAGTCTTGTGCTTTTTGGGCTAAAGCTCTTGTCCTAAGCCCCATTCATCTATACTATAACGAACCAGCCAGTGCTGTAATCAGGAAGTATGCCAAGTTCTGGGTCTTACAGGAACAGAAAGTGAAATCAAAAGTAAATTCCCCTTCATTCAAATCTGCAACAGCGTGGATTAAGGTAACACATCAACATTTCTCTTCAATTTTTCTTAAAACTCAGAACTTTCCAGTGAGAATAATTCTGGGAACTTAAGGTATAAAACTGCTATAGTGAGGAGATCTTGTCATGTAAGGCGAGGCTCTGGGGAAAGGGGGTGAATCTTGCACTGCTGCCTCGGAATGTATGTGAGGTTAAGGTTGGGACTTGACTTAAGAACCCTTCTGCTTTACTGACTCAGTCTCTTCCGGATATCTTTTAGCCTTTACCAAACATTTGCTGCCCATCTTGGATCCCAGGATTTGTTCACTGACGTGCTATTGAGTATAAAGGAAAGTCCCCTAGACTAAGGGTCAAGGGCTGTATTTTCGTCCCAATTTTGCTTGAAACTTGCCATGTGATTTTGGGAAAATCACTTCCCCTCAGTTTCTTTATCAGGACACCAAAGACATACTGGCCTTTCAAGTCCTTACTAGATCTAAAGGTAAAGTCTATATGAATATGAATAAATAACAAGACATTTCTCTTCAGTCTTACCAGTAAAATACAGCTTTCTTGGAGTGTGTCTGCTACAAGTGGGGACAGAAATAATCCTTAATCTATGCCAGAAAATTCAAGTAATAATAATCGCAATAATAATTTAATATTTAACATTATGTGCTTTGTATATGCTATTATGTGCTTTGTATATGCTAATTGTGGTGCTATGCCAAATTCTTCACATGAATTATTTCTCTTTTTTTTAAAAGATTTTATCTATTTATTTGAGAGAGAGGGAGAGCACAGAGGCAGTGGGAGACTCCCCACTGAGCAGGGAGCCCGATGCAGGGCTGGATCCCAGAACCCTGAGATCGTGACCTGAGCCAAAGGCAGACGTTTAACTGACTGAGCCACCCAGGCGCCCCTCATTTAATCTTCCTAAATTGAGGATGATGTATGATTAGTACACTATTTTATAAGATGAGGAAACTTTTGTCCAAAAAATAAGAAAATTTGCCCAAAGTCATTTCGGTAAGTATGCTGGAACTAGTATTAGAATCCAAGCACTCTGATTCCAAAGCCTATCAGCTATCAAATAAGCAATTTTTCAAACATTTTCATTTTTCAAACATTCAGAAATTTAAGCAAATAGACCAATTATGGTTTTGTGTGTCACAGGTTCTTGGAACACTGAGATTTGGTAGCCATAAATTTTTTTCAGATTTATTTATTTGAGAGAGAGAGAAGAGAGAAAGAGCACCCAGGAGGAGGGGCAGAGGAAGAGGGAGAGAGAATCTCCAGCAGACCCCCACTGAGCGTGGAGCCTGATATGGGACTCAATCTCAAGACCCCAAGATCACGACCTGAGCTGAAACCAAGAGTTAGACACTCAACAGACTGAACCACCCAGGCGCCCCAGCCATAATTTAATGCTTATCTGAAAAAGATAGAAGTGTCATTATTTTTTTAATTAAAAAAATCTTCCCCAGCTTTATTGAGATATAACTGACATTATAACTGTGTAAATTTAAAGGGTACAACACCTTGGGTGCCTGGGTGGCTCAGTCAGTTAAGCATCTGCCTTTGGCTCAGGTCATGATCCCAGGGTCCAAGGATGGAGCCTCTGCATTAGGCTCCACACTCAGCGGGGAGCCTGCTTCTCCCTCTCCCTCTGCTGCTCCTCCTGCTTTTGCTCTCTATGTCTCAGTCAAATAAATAAATAAATAAATAAATAAATAAATAAAATCTTTAAAAAAAAGGTAAAGTGTACAACACCTTGATCTGATACATTTATATATTGCAAAATGACTACCACCATAGCATTAGCTAACACCTCCATCCCATCTCATAATTACCACTTCTTTTTTGTGGTGAGAAAGTTACGAATCTACTCTTTTGTGAGGACACTGAGAATCTATTCAACATTCAAGTGCAAGATACAGTATGATTATCTATAATCACCATGCTGTACATTAGATCCCTAGAACTTGTTAAACCTTCTAATTGGAAGTTTGTACCCATTTCCCCCACTGCACAACTCCTGGTAACCGCCACTCCACTGTGTTTCTCTGAGTTCAGCTTTTTTAGATTTCACACATACATGATATATAATATTTATTTGTCTCTCTCTGTCTGACTTATTTCACTTAGCATGATGTCCTCAAGTTCCATCCATGTTATTGCAAATGGCAGGATTTCCTTCTATCTCATGGCCAAATAACATCCCATTGCAGGTATATATACCACATCACCTTTATTTGTTCATCCATTGGTGGACCCTTAGGTTGTTTCCTTATCTTGGCTTTGAAATGTCTTATTTTACCATTCTTCTTCTTGTTCCTTTAACAATACCTGCTTGTCTGCAGTAATATTACAAATTGGAAAATTAAAGTAACTGTTGGGATAATTAATTCTAAAGAGCTTGCTAATGAAAAAAAAAAGAAAGGAAACCATTCATGGGCTGAGTTGGAGCTGGGAGGAGGTGAGTAGAGGCAGGTGGCAGGGTGAGAGTCAGAGTTGAATCACCTAAACTAATAGTATTGTTTGTCCTAACTTTATATTTTGTAATTTTACCCTTCTAATAAGAAAAAAATCATCTTAGTTCTATTTAGAGGCAGTAAATTCAGTTTGATTTAATTGCATTTTCAAAGGTAGCCTAAGATGAAGAACACCAAAACAATTTTTTAAATATTCTCATTAAGAATATTATAAACTCAATTTTATTTCTATAGCTTTGGTATATTGGAAATATACCTTGACCAGCATCCTTTCCACCAACAGCCATAGAATAAAACCATTCAGATGATGTTATTCATTGAAAGAGGTGAAGTTCAATGCCATTAATAATTAAACCTGGTATCCAAAGAATATAGTTTCTTTGTGACTCAAAACAAAATAGAAACCACCTGTGCAGCTTATTTTCAGGTGTCCAGGATACAGCCAGGATGATGTAGCCAAATGTTAAAAACATTTAACATGCAATGAATTTACATACCTGCCTGATGTTCATTGCATAGGAATGCAGAGGGAATTCTATACATGCAATTTTAAGGCAGAGTCCTTTCATTTGGCCTCTACAGGATTTTTTGTAATAACCAAATGATAGCTCAATTTCCACTTTATTGTGTGGTTATTTGGCTTGATTCTATGAAAGCAGGTTTTCTCCATTCACATATATACTTTTATTTTTTAAAGATTTATTAATTGAATTCTTTTTCTACATGCTATGAATGTTTTTTTTCCCTTCTAGATCAAATCCACTTATTGAAATATATCATTCAGATCCTGTGTGATGTAACTGGAGCTGGTACAGTGCTATAGAGAATTATGAGACTTAGCCTGGATATTAATTTGTCTTCTAGAGAATAGATTTAGTATCCATTCTTCTGCAATGGCTAATCCATGCAGAAAACTGCTATTTAATATTTACATGGGATTTTACTGCTCAACCATCATGCCCAAAATGTGCATTTGTTCTCAACTTTCAATGTCATCTACCGATCCATTCAATAAGGACCCTGGGGCTTTCCCCGTAGCCACCAATGGGGAACCATTTCCTTGGAACAAGCTAAGGCTCCCCAGCATGGTAATTCCCCTCCACTATGACCTTTTGGTCCATCCAAATCTCACCTCGTTGGACTTCGTTGGTTCTGAGAAGATTGAAGTCTTGGTTAGAGATGCCACTCAATATATCATCTTGCACAGCAAAGACCTTGAAGTCATGAATGTCATCCTTCAATCAGAGGAAGATTTGAGATACAGGAAACCAGGAAAAAAGCTGAATGTTTTGAGCTATCCTGCTCATCAACAAATTGCACTGTTGGTTCCAGAGAAACTAATGGCTGATTTGAGATACTCTGTGGCTATCAACTTCCAGGCCAAGTTAGCCAATGGTTTTGAAGGGTTTTATAAAAGCACATACAGAACTCGTGGTGGTAAAACAAGGTAAGACATCACTCTAGCTGTTTAGTCTTTTGTGATACTTTCCTTATGGGTTACATCTCTTTGCCAGGAGCACATTTCAGCAGTCATTTATGAAAAGCTCAATAAACCATGGAAACTTAGAAGAAGAAGCTCTGCTATTTCTTAAGGAAATTTCAGTCAAGATGAGAACACAGAATGCTGAGGCATAAACAACTAGAGGGAGAATGACTAGGAGAAGAGAGCAGCATGTGACTGTGTTGAGACAGGTATGTTGTTGTGCTAGGGGGAAGGATGGTCATGACACAGAAAGCTGAGATACAGAAGACTTCTCAAAGGAGGTGAGTCTTGATCTGAGACCAGAAGGAAACGCAAGTAAGATTTGGGTTGAGAGAAAGGAAGTGAAAGTGTGTATACATTACCCAAGAAACAGCATGACTCAAATCCAGGAGGTGGGAACAAGTCTGTTTGGAGAATTGAGAAATATGATCAATTTGATGAGCTCCCATTTATTGAGCACTTGCTAAGTGCCAGGCACTGTTCTAGGCATTGAATGTATGGCGGTAAGATATGTGGGAAGAGGCAACCAGGTCAAGAAAATAAATTAAATGGACAAGGTAAATGATAAATGCTATGAAGGAAATAAAATGAGGTGCTGAAATAGAAAGAAAGTGTAGCTGGGGATTGGAACTCATTGATCTAAGTGGTCAGGAGAGTCCTTGCCAAGGAGATGCATTTAAACTGAAAATAATATTATTTGAAAAAAGGAGAAAATCATGAGGACATCTTTGGATAGAGTATCTCCAGACAAGGGAACAGCAAGTGCAAAGGTTCTGAGGTTGGGCTGACTGACTAGCATGGCTTGAGGACAGTGACAAAGGAGGTAAGTAGAGTAGAAAACGGTCAGATCAGGCAAAGACTTTGAGCCTCTTGTACGGAGTTTAGGCTTTTCCTCCAGTGCGGTGGGAATTCATCAGGAGGTTCTGATCTGATATATGCTCCATAAAGCTCGAGTGTATGTTGTAAGTACGTTACAGAGAGGGGGACACAGAGGACAGTCACATGTTGTTAGTGAGATGTTGATGATAAATTCGCTATCAATGACCACTTAGGAGGTCATTGCAGTGGTGCGGGCAAGAAATGAGGGTGGCTTGGGCCAGGCTAGTGGCAGTGCTTATGGAGTGAAGTGACTGAACGTGGCATTTGTTTTGGAGGGTAAAACAGACAGAATTTTCTGACAGATATGTGAAAAATTAGAGAAAGGGAGGAATCAGTGATTCTTCATAGAGTGGATGCTTTGGTCGTCCAGGGCCAGGGTCCATCTGGGAGGGTTTCAGTGCTTTCCCACTTTTGATCTGTGACACTCAACTGTCAGAGAAACCTAGATACAATGGTTTAACCACATGAGGGGGCCATTATTTTCTCATGCAACAAGAAGTCTAGAAACAGGACAGGCCAGGTTTGCTACAGCACTCTTCAGTGCTATCCAGGACCCAGGCCGCTTCTATCTTTCGGTTCAGCACCCTTGGCATATGGCTTTCCTCCTAATACAAAATGATTTCTGCACCTCTAGGCATCAAGTTCACATTGTAGGCAAGAAGAAGGGGGAAGTGAGGGGAGAGAAAAAGGTAAAAAAACATTCCAGCTGAGGGTTTTACAAAGTTTTCCCACCCAATGAATTCAGTCAGGCCAGAATGAGTTGCAAGGGACTCCGAGAGGTGATTCTTTTATCTGGACACATTGTCTTCTGGAGTAAAATCAGGATTCCACTGGAATTGAAGAAGGGGAATGAGTAGGTGACTTAAGCAATGGCTGCTACGTATGTCTTCTTTCCCACCTTAGGTGGTCTCACTACCCTCTGAGGACTCATGTGCCCCCTGCTCCCAGTCCCCAGTGGTCTGTAGGAGAGCACTTCCCCAAGCCCATGTCTTCGCACCTCCCCATGGGACACTTCTCTCATTGCAGCCTCAATTCTTATGGGTCTGTTCTCAGCCAGCGGAGTACTAGATCGGGAATTTATCATCAACTTCTCACTAAGAACATGTGACCAGTCATGGCTTTTTTGCATTTTCTCAAGTGACAAAGACTCCACTGCAAGGAAATACTTCTTAAGGATATAGTTTTGGGAGATGTGGGAAACTGGAGAGGGAGATTTTTTCTTTGAGTAAAGCTGGAGGACTTTTCAACACGTCTCCCATAACTGACTTCAGGCTATTTCTGACTCTTCTTGTGATTAATTAGTTCTCTTCATCCTCAGTTACATAGTAGATCTAACACATAGGATGATTTGCAGCGCAGTGTCAATAGACTCATGGATCTCTTTCTTTCTCTTCCTCCCTCTCTCTCTCTCTCAAACACACACACACACACCACACACACACCTTAACCTAAAATATAAAAATAATCCAGTCAACAATAGTTCTTTGAGAAGCAAGAAGTCACTACTTTACATGCAGAGCGAAAATTAATTGTGCAAGTAGCAGAAAAAAATATTAAACTTTTTGCTTTCCTACTGTAGACTTACTATAAACAAAATTTCACATTTGTGAAAAATTATTCCAGGTATGTGGAATTCCTTTATACTTGTAGTAGCTGCTACCAAATCCAAATAAAGCCTGAAGTTCCAAGCAAATCAAATCGTTCCAGTCCCCAGCCTCATTTTCCAATCTACATTATAAAAACAAAGCAAATTGACATAATTACCTGACAGCCCCTCTTTTTTCCCTCCTGGCCCTTCTCACCCTTTATCTGACTCTAGAGATTTTTTTATTCTCCCCTCCTTCCCCAATAAAAGTCTGCACTCCAGGTTTGTTTCTTAATTGAAGCTTTAAGTCCAAAGAATAAATCTGTAATTATACAATTTCAGGCATTATCAAGGTGATGGGGTGTAGAGATTTGTCAGAATATCTATGTACCTATTATAGTCTCAGGACTGGAGCTACTTTGCTGGCAAGCAGAGAAAGCTAGAAGCTCCTGGGAGTTAGGTCCCCCAGGAGGTACAAAATTTGAAATCCTAGCTCCGGGGAACACTTAAAGGTGTAATTTCCATTCCAGAACTCCCCAGAGATCAGACTGAAGCTGGATCCAGCCTGGCTTTTTCTTCTATCCTACCCTGCTCCTGTCACTCTTTCCCTACCTCCTTAATATCTCCTGGAGGCATGTTTTTAATAAAGCAGGGTCTGCTTTCTGAGAACACAACCTAAGACATCACTCACATTCACAAGTATTCAAATATCCGACTGAAGCCTCCTCCTGAGAGATGGTACTTAACTACTAATATCCAAGTCAGTTTTGGCATCAAATTGACTGGGCATACCTATCTCATTCAGTAGCGAAGGAACCTGGTAAGGTTACTCAGATTTTCTGAGTCTCAATATCCTTGCCTACTATGAGTATGAAAGAAATCATAGAAGCAGAGTGCCCAGCACTGTGCATTATTCATGATTGGCAGGTACTAAACAAAATTTTACCCCTGTTTTATTTAAAAAGACATCCTAGATTCACTAAGATTATAGTTTGAGAAGTTTGAGAAGTCAAATATATCACCTCCAGGTTTGATAAGCTGTGTTCTGAAGGTATAGGTCATTTCTTTTCTTGATTTCACTTGTAAAATTCTGGCCGGTGGTTTCTTCATTTCACAGAATAGTTGCAGTAACGGATTTTGAGCCAACTGAAGCCCGGACGGCTTTCCCTTGCTTTGATGAACCATTGTTTAAAGCCAACTTTTCCATCAAGATAAGAAGAGAAAGTGGACACATTGCACTCTCCAACATGCCAAAGGTATTGTCACTTGCAGAAACTTTGGGGGAATCATTCTCAAGTTGAGCCTTGGTCTTTGTTGTATTTTTTTTTTTTAACATTTCTTGTTTTCAAGATTTAAGCCATTAATTTGTTTTCTCCATCTACATATTATATAATAACCCCAATCCTTCTAGATTTTAACATCATTCTGGTTGGGGCATTGTTACACCAGAAGTTTAAAAAAAACCAACGTGATTTATATTTCATTTGTATTCATATGGAAACAATGTTCTTTTTTAGTCTGTGTTACTTGGCCAATGATGAAATTCAAAACCACCCAGAGCAGCGCTTCTCAAACTTTAATGTTGAGATGAATCATCTGAGGATCTTGTTAAAATTTAGATTCTGATTCGGCTTGGCACCAGTGAGGCTCAAAGTTCTGCCTTTTTAACAAGAACTCGGGTGATACCACTGCTGCTGGTCCAGACTCCACATGTAGAGTGGGAAGGATCTAGAGAACCCTGCTTGGGCTCCACCTTGGAAATTCTGCTCTAGTGGTCTCTGATGAAACTTAGAAGTCCCCCCCTTTTTTTTTTAAGTTCCATGGGTAATTCTTAAAATTATCTATGAAAATCATCTATGGTAGTTATACACTTTTTTAACTGAAAGAGACGTTTGAACCCTTTATTTGCACTCAAAATTCAAAGACTCTGAAAGATACTGCTGACCGCAGGCCTCATTTGATATTTCCTCACTAATGATGTGCTTGCCATTTGTGATGTTGGACAAAATATAAAATATTTCCCAATTGCCACTTGGAAAGTGAGACAAAAATAGAGGCTCTTCTGATTGTGCTTCAGCAAAATGAGCAGCCCAGAAAGCAGCTGGGCCATCATAAGCCAGCAGGGGGTCCTACCCCATTTTTCTCTCTGCCTTCCACAGTGATCAGCCTCTATGGCTGAAGGAGAGAAATGAGTTGATAACACGAGCCACTGAATTTCCCTAGATTTCTGTTTCATGCTGGTAAAGGTATTTGCTCTGATATATTGGCAGAGCAGATCAACGGGAAAAGTGACAATACTCTACGTGACACATATCCTAGTTTTTCCTTGATCACCCAGACAGCAATTCAATTAGCCTACTCATTTCCGGGTAAAAATGATCCTCTACTTGAACTCCAAGTCTGCTTTCTAACTGTACGTTCATTTAAGGGCAGTTCAGTCTCTTTCCCAGCAGCTTTTTATTAATGTCATTTTTCATATGAATAATCATGGAGGGTAAAGTAAAAATATAATTATTTTAAAGACTTTTCATTAAAATGTGATACAAACATAATTGTGGTTTCATTATATTAGAATTTAAATTTTTTTAAAGATTTTTATTTATTTATTTGACAGAGAGAGAGAGACAGCAAGAGAAGGAACACAAGCAGGGGGAGTGGGAGAGGGAGAAGCAGGCTTCCCGCTGAGCGGGGAGCCCGATGCAGGGGCTCGATCCCAGGGCCCTGGGATCATGACCTGAGCCGAAGGCAGATGCTTAACTAACTGAGCCACCCAGTTACCCCAGAATTTAATTTTTTTTATCTTTAGAAATCTCCAGCAACTTCTCATATTTAAGACAAATTAGTGCATATTTTTAAAAAATATTTTATACAATCCTTGAATATTTGCATTGCCTCAACTGACTTGTCCAGTTCTCTGGATCATACCTTTCCAGCAAATACTGGCTTCACGGTCTGCTTCTCACTGACATGCCCAACTCAGGATTTTGTGGTTGGCCAAAAAAGGACAACTGAAGTCATGCTACAATCTTACTCTCTGGACAATTGCTGCAACAATTAAGCTGGGCTATGGATTGGTGAGAAGAAGCAACACATATTAAGTTCTCAATCTGCTCAGTTAAGAATATAAGATTTAAGGGAAGTGAGGGAGCCAGACAAGTACTAGTGGAGGAAGCATATCTTTGGGACATTTCTTTGCCCCCTCCATTCCTTAAAGGAACACACACCTGCTGGTGATACTTGCTATGTAAGGAAAGTCCGGCCAATATTGAGAAACTGCTAAATCCTTGTCTAGCAACAAGTGTTCTGTACTTGGAGATTACATCATCATCCTGGAAGACTGTGCACTAACACCCCATGCACTTCCATTTAAGGCAATGTTAATCTACATGGTTCACTCCAGGTTCCAGAATAAAACTCAGCCTCGATGTGCTACATCTTCATCGGGGGTGGGGCGGGGGGAGAAATCAGAGGGAACACCCATCCGTCTCCTAACCACTCCTGCCACCAGTGTCTAGTGTCAGAGACTCTCGTCCCCCCAGTGTCCCACAGCCTTCCTCCTCCTCCCTTCTCTCCTCTAACACACTTGACTAACTGGTTTTTTACCGAGTTTGGTCATAAGATCACCATCATAATGCCCTCTCCCCGGCCTCTACCATAATCCTCGCCTCTGGTAGAAGTATGTGCTCATAGAATTCTGGTTGAATCAGATCCCTAAAAAAAAGAGATTGTTGTTCTACAGAGTTAACTTGTAGGAGATATATATATATATATATATGTCACAGTCCTATATATACTGCCACCTTTCTTAAAGTATTTGGTCAGTGTCTTCTGCTTTATTAAAACTTAGGACCTCATTTTTTTATAGAATTCTCTAGAATCAAATACTGTAGAATTAAATAGCACAAACATTTGTCATTTAAGTAGGCTAGGCGGTTTCTGGTAATACTTCAAGCTATTTTCTCTTGCCAAAGCAAACTGCAATCTTATCCAAATAGATAAAACATGCTTGACAATCCCTGGTTAGTGCTGTTGCAAGCCTGATGCCTTGAAAGGGATGTTGGGAGAGGAAAGCTAGTCTAAAGAGTTGTTACCAATTTGAAGAAAGTGGTATTTTCAGATTACTGGATCTGTATCCATTCAGTATTTTGGGGCATTGTACCATGGTGGAAACCATCTCTGGGACAAGCTATCCTGAGCAAATAAAGATAGAATTTGGTAATTACTCAGTGAGTTTGATAGATGTGGCTGACCAGTCTGTAGGCTTAAAACTTCTTACTTCTTCCGTAGATAGGCAGGAGCTTAAATTACTAATGACCTCCTTGGCCTGCCTCCTTTCATTGCTGAATCAATGAAGCAAAGATAAAATAAGACTATGACTCAAGCTGTCACACAGCGAATGAAAGAATGAGCAATGTCTTTGGAGTCACACGGTCACATCCACATCTTGGTCTTCCTGTGGAACTAGCCATGTGATCTTGGGCAGTTCAGTTAACATTTCTGAGACTCTCTTTCCTCACCTGTGAAATAACACCTACCTCACACATAAATAATAAGAGGACTAAAAGATAATGAATATTATCTCAAACAGTTTTGCGTCCCATTTCCTTCTGCAACAGAGATCTTTTATATAACAAACAAAGGGAAAGGAGACATTCTTTGATATTTTTGCTTAGAAGTGCAGAACTTGAATTTATGCCAGTGTTGGAGATTACTGCATTTCAAGAAAGTAGAAACATCTAAAATATTTTTATGCTTTCAAGCAACAAAATAAGATTTGGCATCATTTTGGGATCTCAAAAGTGGTACATGATGTCTTAGAGGAAGTCTAGGGATAAAAGAAAAAAAGGGAGGAGAGGTCACAGAATATTATGACAGGCCATTGATCTCTTATAATGTCATCAAGTGGCCTTCAAAGTGTCAGGACCTTCACCAACTTAAATCATAGGCATTGTTGTAAAACATTCCAATTTTCAAATACTATTTTTTTCCCTTCCTGTAGGTTAAGACAATTGAACTTGAAGGAGGCCTCCTAGAAGATCATTTTGAAACTACGGTAAAAATGAGTACATACCTTGTAGCTTACATAGTTTGTGATTTCAACTCTGTGAGTGGTACCACCTCCTCAGGAGTCAAGGTAAGACTGGGTTCTAATTTTATACACTGTCCTGAGAGCAACGAGCTTTTATTTTCTTACACTTTTTTTTCTTGTTATCAAAGTATCATGCTTATTTCACAAAATAAGCAAAAAATAAATTACTCATAAATCCCACCATCAAGATATAATTACTGATAATATTAGTGAAAGTTTTCAAGTATTTTCTGTATATATGTCACTATATGAGAGTGTATGCAATAACTGTGTGTGCCTTTTACAAAATAATCTTTAAGATTATTTAACTCTATTTTCACCATAATATGCCATAAGAACTGAATGCCATTGAATTTTTCTGTAATATTTTTATAACACATTTTATGGAACTTTCTATAATGTTAATAATTGCTTAGTGTTATACTGCATGGAAGTACCAAAAAATTTTTTAATCAGCATCTTATTTTAGGACATTTACATTGTTTCCAATTGTTTTCTATAACTTTTTTCCCTCAATGAGAGGTACTTCATACTTTCTAGAGTCTTCATTATTTGAAAAAATTTACAATACCCAATGGGTATCTTACAGAGTTTTGCAAATATCAGTAGAGACATCATCATCATCTCCTTACCCTGAAGAACCAAATATAGACATACAAACATTCAAAGAACCCTAAAATTATGCTCATGAAAAACAGCTATAAAATGGCTATTTCAATTTATATACATATTATACTTACGGATACGTAGATATATGCTATGACCAATGCATCTAGATACATAACACAGCAGCTCTGCACCCAGATTCTGCATAGGTAACAGACATATGAGAGGCCTCATGGTACTTAACTTCAGGAGGGCATATTCCAGTCAGCTTCCTGGGTTTCACATCCCAGCTCTGACTTGGAGCAAGTTACTTAATTTCCATGTGTTTCCATCTTTTCATAAGGTTGTTGAGAGGATTCAATTAGATTTCACATGTACATATTTAGCACTGTGCCTGATAAGCCATCAAAAAATGGTAACTATTAATATATCCTTCCTATAAAAGTTCTGAGGGACTTCAGGTAATTCAGAGCATGAAAGCAGATCATAAAATGAAAGTAGCACCATACCTGAAACCCAATAAAAGTGGAATGTAATTTTATTTTTTTTCCATTCAGTGTTATATACTTGTGGGGGAGTAAAGGAACACTTTTCGGGATTTTTGAGTTTAAAGTCAACTAGATGAGAAGGCAGATCCAATAAATTTTGAAGGCTTTCCAACTCATACACTTATGTTTTATCTGATTTGTGCTGGTGAACACAATTCTGGAAGACTGGCCCTCAAGTGCTAGAATGCATGATAGTGATGAGCTCAAGTGAGCTCTCATGATATAGTGGATTCATTTAGCTTGAAATTTACAGATTAGCACCTAGGGAATGGGTTATAACAGGAGACACAGGGTTGTTTATAATTTTTGAGACTGATTTTTGCTTAATACTTTATGGAACATCTTATCCCCATCAAAAACATGCTTAATTGTATTACAGTAATTTCTTGAAAAATGTAGTCTACCTTTCTTTGAGCGAGGGTTGTTAGGAATGGAATTGTGCCAAGGATTTGTGACATTCAAAGACCACTTCTTCTGATCAACATTTCCAGGTGTCCGTCTATGCATCCCCAGATAAATGGAGTCAAACACATTATGCTTTGGAAGCATCATTAAAGCTACTTGATTTTTATGAAAATTACTTTGATATCAACTATCCACTCCCCAAATTGGGTAGGTTCAAATTCCATGTCATTGTATTTATTTTTGCTTATAGACCTTGCTTTGATTTTTTTTTGTCTTTATATGTGATTTAAATGAGTACTGAAGAGGTTCAGTTAGCCCAGGAAGCAATAATTTGTACCTCAGAGATGGTTCTTGAGTGTAGAAAAAAAGTATTTATGAGAAGTCCGAGTAGTGTGGATCATTTTATTCTTTTATTAGGTTCACATTAAAATAGCTGCATCGCATGTTAGATTTAATTGGATGAATTTTCCAGAGCATACAACTTGTTTCTATGCCATATTTATACAAGACCAGCAATCTTTTATAAAATTTGCTGAAGATTTACGTAAATGGCTGAAAATTGTCCCTCTGTTTATAGTGCATTTGAAGTTGGAAGATAAGAATGTGGCACAGATTTAAAAATAAAAGAAGACTTGGAGGAAATAGATGATTTGAATGTGATAGTAGTAGATCTTTATATAGGAAGATACACACAGTCTATCTTGGTTTTAATTTTCTATCTTAAAAAATAAAAGTTATGATTTTAATAATGTTGCAAAACACATTAAACCATGACTTCAGTTTCATAACATACGTAGATTGGTTTTTAGAATTTCTGACAGTGACAAATTTTTTTTCCCCTTGGGGACATTAAAACATACTCCTTATCATGTCTTTGCTCCTCTTTACCCCCAAAGTCTGTGCCATTTTTCCTTAGAGGAGGTATAAGAGACCATCAAAAGACTTCTCCAGGGGCTTATTCTTATAGTTCCTAAGTCTCAGTGCTTTATTATAGTGCATATTCTATATGCTTTTTAGTATAGATATACTAAATTTACCATAATCCATTGTCCTCTATGTCAAAAGTCAAGGAAAGCTCTAATAACAACCATCAACAATCTTACGTTGCTCTGGAACAATGCAACCTTGAAGATCATATGAAATGTATTTTTTTTTTTAAAGATTTTACTTATTTGAGAGAGAGAAAGAGAGCGCGTGTAGGCACAAACGGGGAGAGGCAGGGAGGGATAGAGGAAGGGGGAAGCAGACTCCCTGCTGAGCAGGGAGCCCCAACGTGACACGGTTCAATCCCAAGACCCTGGGATCATGACCTGAGCCGGAGGCAGACGCTTAACTGACTGAGCCACCCAGGTGCCCCTATTTTAAAAAGCTGAAAAGAAGGGTGCAGTTTAGGAAAAATTAAACCAGATATAAGTATCTCTAATGACTATGGGAAATTATCCAACTAATATAAAATCATCAGGGCAATTTACAAAAGGAATTATTCCCACATTTGAAGTGCTAATGAATACTAATTTTTATTAGTGCTAATTTACTTTTGATTGTCTTATAAGTATTTGTTTTTATCCACTAGAATTAGCCAGTATTAATTCCAGACAATGTAATCGCAAGCCAAGTGACTTGGTTCATTTCAACTTAAAAAAATTACCTTTCTTTTTAGTCAAACAGTACTTTTTCCAAAATGGCCTAGCAGAATAAAAAGTAAAAATTCCAAGATTAAATATTAGCCAGAAATTTTCTAACTTGCATGACATCAATGGCAAAAGGTATACATACACACACAGAGAGATAAAATCTAAATTAATATACAGTATATCTGAGTTGCTTAAAGATAATTAAATTTCACTTTTTTTCCCTCAAGGCTTTGTTAAGAGGTAGAGAAAATATCAATGTTGAAAAGGAAATTGAGGTCAGAAATAATTGATGCCCACAGCTTTTTTCCTCTACTGCCTTAGAAAGGACACTTGCTCATAATAAGGGCCATACATTCTTTAAATATTAATTGAAATATTGACAATAGAGATTGCTCCTAAAAGATGTTTTCCTGAAATTAAAATCCTATATTGTTCTCTTTTTTATAGAAATGAGTTCATTATATGTTTTGATGAATCTCAAACATACTAGAAGTTATTTGATACTTTTCAACGTTTTTGAGTAGTATTAATATAAGATACAATATGAGTGCTTTTAAAGAAATCATTTTCTTAGCACTACTGCACCCAAGGTATTTGTTGAGTTTAGCACACTTAGAAACAGATGGTTAAATATCAACAGGTTACTTCAGCTACAACGAAAAGTGAATTGATAGAATTAATGCTGCTTAATAATGGGTGCTGATTATTTTCAGTGCAACTACAAGACCCCACTTCAATGTTACAATAGTCTTGACCTTTTCAGAAAGTCTGCTTATGCATGAAAGGATCACAGTGTATTTGGGGGGAAGCAAATCCCATTTCTGGTGCACAAGCCATAATGATCAAATATGGTTGTTCTTATTTCTTAGATCTAATTGCCATTCCTGATTTTGGGTCTGGAGCCATGGAAAATTGGGGCCTCATCACATATAGCGAGACATCACTGCTCTTTGATACTAAGACTTCTTCTGCTTCTGATCAACTATGGGTCACCAAAGTCATAGCCCATGAACTAGCACACCAGGTACCTGACACTCATGACATTCTCTTAGTATCAATCCAAAAAGGCATTGTACAGGTCACCAGTGGGCTTCCTGAAACAACATAAAATTATATCCTCTTACCCTTAGAGGGGACCTTGGAGACTATCAAACCAAGCACAGTATGTCAAGTAGCAGAGATCTCAATCTCTAGACAGGAGTGTTATCACAAGAGAAGTGGCCACTGTATCCTCTAAAACTCTTCAAGGCAAAGCCTTCTGATGTATTTTAGTAAGAAAGGTATGGATTACGCAGATAGATAGGGCACAGAATTGGAAACCATACAAGGAGAGATTTCTATTAAAAAATAGTTCTCCTTATACTCCCTAGTCTAGGGTGTAATCAATCTCCCTTCAGTTGGAACATGTCATTATACGGCCATAGCGAGTACTTCAAGTCCAAGTACTCATGGGCTGCTGACCCTAGACACATTACCTAACTCTCTAAACTTCAAAGTCTTCATCTATAAAATTAAATTAATAATTGTTCCTCCTTCTTGAAACTGCTGTGAAGAATTACAGGTAAGTGTCTGTGCCTGTCACACTCAGTAAGTGTGAGTTATTAAGTGATGGCGGCAATGATCTCTGCTACTGCTATCATTTCCTGCAGGCTAAGATTTCCAAGGCCCATCTATCAACACTGTATTTGATGCAAATATGGTACTGTAAAACTAACTCTATAGATATCATAGACTATTTGCACTCTATTTCATTTCTGAAAATCCCTAGTAACACAGTGAATTATTAAGGGCCCCAGAAATTCTCTTTCGCCATGTAGACAAATATCATTTTATTGTATTTACTAGAAGCAAGTAATATCTTATTTTTCATTTTTAACTTTATCCTTTATCATTATTATAATAATAAGTTGGATTTTATTTAAGCAGTGAACTAAGTGCCCAGTTACACAGGAACCATGCTCAGCACTGTACTCGAAGAACATATGTGTGGCTTCCTCTGGTTTAGAATCTCCCCACTGGCTCATTTCAGGGCTTTTGATCATTAGTCACTGGTAGCTCTAAAGCACTTGACTGAGTCTGGGGATTTCTAATATTTCTACTGAATGTTTATAGGGAAATTGTTGGAGAACTCTACCTCTGAGGCTCCTTTGGCCCTTCCTTTTATAGCTTCTCTTTCGTGGAGATGCAGAGTCTGGGGCTGAAGCAGCCGGCAGGAGTGGAACTTTTGTCTTGACTATTTTGTCTCCCCCATTGATCTCCATACGACCATTTATTCCAACAAAGACTCCCAAATGCCACCTGAGTGGGTCAGGAGTTCATAGCATGCCATTCCAGGTGCCCAAGATGAAGCCCTTCTCTACCTCTCCAACTTCATCTCTTACCAACACTGCAAGCTTTAGCTATCCTAGACGGTCTGCCATTTCTGAATGTGCCAGGCTGCGTTGCTCCTCTGTGCTTTTACTCCTGCTACTTAATCTGCCTAGAGCACACACTATTCCCAACATACCTGAGGGCCCTTTGCAAGACTCAAGAAACTAATCCTTTCCTAACTAACTTACGCACTCTCCCAGAAGAACTTATTTTTAACTCCTGGAATCCTCTCTATCCCTTGTGCAGGTATTGATCATAGCGCCATAATGTTTTATTGCCTTTATCTGTCTATTAGTTGACCTCCATCATTTGTATTGGGGCAGAGGCTGTATTATATACATCTTTATATTTCTAACATATGGCATGTTGCCAGGAATGTAGCAGGTACTCAATAGATATTAATTGAATGAATGAATAAACCACTCTTATTAACTGGTGAAGTTACCAAAATTATCTCAACTTGTATTTTTCATATTCATCACTTCTCAAAATAAGGAAACACCTCCCATCCTTTTTCACAGATGCCCTCAGGAAGATTGGTGCCCGCTTGTAAAATGATCTGAGGGTTGTCAGAAAAGAAAGAGCTAAACAGTTTCTAGAAGCTACACATCTAGCTATAACTATAAGGAGTCTCTTTTGAATCATAGAGTCTTTTTGTTTGATTTCCCATCCCTCTGGAGATTGCAACCCTGAAACAGATAAATTAGATGGATAATATTGGGCATATAGGCTAAATAAAATACAAAAGTACATGAAAAAGTAGTAATACTTAAAACCAGTGTTACAGATCAAATATAGGTCAAGGGTAAATTGCTATTTAGATTTCCTTTTGGCATCCTGTTAATTTTATTTATGTATATTTAAAATCCCAGAACTTTATTCTCTTCAGTGTCCAGGTTAATCCCTGGAAGGAAGTCAGAGCAAAAGTTAACAACTAAGTTCCCTCATCAGTAATACTATGTAGCAATCCGAGAGTCCTAGAATTCTTATGATTCTCTTAAGTACCTGCTACTTAATATAAAGAAGTGAATTCACCAAAGATATTTTGGCTTATATTTCTCCTAAGACCATCACCATAAATCAATGACAAGGTGAGATTGTACTTATCCCATAAAAGGTTTTATTTTCTTCCTTAATATTAAATCTAATAGATAGGAAATGTTGGGAGGGTAAAATGGAAGTTGGAGAGTTGGGAATTACAAGGACACAAAAGAAACAAAAGTAAAAAAAGAAGCAAAAATGTGGTGGTGAGAAGAGAAGGCAAAGAAATCAGTAGAAGGAAGTTGTACAGAGAAAAAAAGGTAACAGAGAGTGGAAAGTCCTTAACCACTGAAAGAAGGACGTTAGCATCCATTGTATTTTTTGCTACAGTTAATAATTTTTTATGTTTGTTTAATTTCTTTTCTTAAGATTTATTTATTTATTTAAGAGAGAGAGAGCGCATGCGCATGAGCCGGGCGGAAGGGCAGAGGAAGAAAGAAAATCTCAAACAGACTCCCCGATGAGTGCAGAGCAGAGTGGAATGTGGTGGGGCCCCAACTCACAACTCTGAGATTTTGACCTGAGCTGCAAATCACAAGTCCCATGTTCAACCAACTGAGCCACCCAGGTTCCCCAATATTTGTTTAATTTCTAATAACATTGAGTCTTTGCCTCCTAGTGGTTTGGCAACCTGGTTACAATGGAATGGTGGAATGATATTTGGCTCAATGAAGGTTTTGCAACATACATGGAACTCATCTCTGTTAATGCCACATATCCAGAGCTACAATCTGTAAGTTTACAATTTTGTATGTCATACCACATACACAATTCAGCCCATAACGTAAATCTCTCACCCAAAAATCTATGGACAGAGAGCTCAGATAGCACAAATATACAGCTGTGTATGTGAGGTGAGAGGAAAGAAAATCACTGTCCATATACAATGATATAGGACAAGAGGATGCCCATGGCTAGAGATCCTGTGGAGATTTCTTGGCATGTCACCTGAAAATTAAGCATAATTGGGGCATGCTCCTCTAGAATTTTCAAAGGCCTATTCACTTCCCCAAAATGTATGAAAAGATTTTTTTCAAACATGTCTTTTTATTTAGGCATAAAGAGTCTAAACACTACCTATCAAGGTGGTTTGTAATGGTTACTTAGCTCTTTGGGGTAGGCATTTGGTCCAGTATGGTACAGACAGACATGGATTCAGAGACAGTATCTTTGTATTTGCTATGTGTTGAATCCATGGTGTAATCCCAAAGCTTCATATATTCTCACTTGTAAAGTGCACACAGTGCATCTACTTTGCAGGGTGTTCACAGGAACACAGATGATAGATGTAAGGTCCTGGCACATAGCAAAAGTTCACTAAATGGGGACCATTTTTTTTTTCTGTATCCAAGGGCCTGGTACATGGTAAACATTCAAACAATGTATGAAGGAATGTTGGATTTATACCTTTATGAAGTAGAGAATGGGTGGCAGGGGAATATAGAAGGGGAAAGAAACTTACAATCAATTTTAAGAAATATTGTTTGACTACTTCTATGAATATCTTCCTAAGCCTACTGTGTTTTCTCTTGCTTTGAAAGTTTCAAATTGAAAGTGAAAATTTTCTTTTCCCTCTTTAGGATGATGCTTTTTTGGATGTGTGTTTTGCAGTAATTAAAAAAGATTCATTAAATTCATCCCGTCCTATCTCCAATCAAGCAGAAACTCCTACTCAGATAGCGGAAATGTTTGATGTAGTTTCCTATAACAAGGTAGTAAATGCTGTGGGCAAGTGGGAGCTCTGCTTTCAGGAGAAATATAATGAGGCTTGTAAGATCAGCAGTTGAACTTAATTGGTTGCAGGTTACCGCCACTTGTTATATGTTTCTTGTATTTGATGTTCATTTTTCAGACATTACGTGTGTTCCATAAGATTTAAGCTTCCTTTATAAACAAATCATACAACCTTTTTCTTTATCTTCTTTTTTTTGTTTGTTGTCTTTCTTTATTTTTTAAGGGAGCTTGTATTTTGAATATGCTCAAGGATTTTCTGATTGAGGAGAAATTCCACAAAGGAATTATTCACTACTTAAAGAGGTTCAGTTATGGAAATGCTAAAAATGATGATTTGTGGAGCAGTCTGTCAAATGTAAGTCATATATTGGGTAACAGAAACTGTTTTTGAGCCTAAAATGTAACAGGCTAATTATGAAGGTTTATAAATAGTTGTACTGTCAGCCAACCAATATCTATTCCACTTTCTACATTGTCAGGGTCCATAGAAGGCAGCACATTCCTTTTTCCTCTGGCACCACACTAAACCAGGATGCCACCCATCCTGGGATAGTCACAGGCCTTTGATATCTGGTCTCCTTCTCTTTGGTTCCCTTCTATAGTTAACCCGATACTTTTATCTCCCCATTTTCCAAACTCTTTAATGACTTTGTAATTCCTGCCATGAATATCTAATCTTCCCTGCCCAAATTTTAAGGTTGAACTCTACCTTCTCAACTTTATTGTCCAGCATGTATTCTCCATTGCATGAGACACATCTTCTCCCTCATAGGAAGAAATCCTACTCAATCCTTATGTCATCATGTTTTTGTTTTGAAGGCCCTTGCTACCTGAAATGTACTTTTTTCTTGCCAACAATTCAATGCCACCCATCTTTTGAGTTCTAGCTGAGATTTTACCTCCTCCTTATAGGTTACTCCACCCCTCAATGGTTTGCCTTTCTGCTCAATACCTAGAAGTGCATTTATGAATCTGTTCTACACAGTGACATTCTCTTTTATTAGTTTTTAATGGTTCAATAATAACAATGGTGAGAATAATAAAATTTGCTTAAGAACAAGAATCATATCTATTCTTTTTTTTAATGCCACAGCATCTAGCATTGTGATTAATAAACAATTAATTGTTAATTAGGGAACACTTGGTTTCTTTGTCATTGGGATTCATGTAGTATAATAGGTAAAACAAAGAAAACATGCAGTTGACTCAGAGGATTCTAATAATTATTAAAATATTCTTAAATTTTCAACTGTGAGTAAAATAATCTTTCATAGAATTATTGGACTGGCAGGGCTCATACAGGTAGACAAACCCTAAGCCATTATAGACAGAAGGGGTCCTCTTTTCCTTATAAGCACTTATGGCCCGGGGACAGTCATAATATTGTTCAATATTTACATAGCACATAATAGTTTAAAAAGATATTTCAAGTGTATTATCTCATTTGATTTTTTTAATGCTCTTATAAAGTCTGAATCCTCGTGGTCTAATAATTTCTGTGTGATTTTGTAGTCAAAGAAACAAAGTCAAGTCATTAAACATTTTTTCAACGTAGCTCAAATCTTTTGTTCACATTTCTTGAAAATCATAAAAGGGACTGAAATACACAGTTCTTAGTACAACCTATATAAGTGCTCTTTATCCATTTCCATCACATCCTGCTGACAATCTAGATGCTCTCTCTCCAGAGTCCTCCTAAACTTCTCAACAAGCCTCACATTGCTTTTCTCTCCCATTCCTCACTTTCCCCCTCTCCTTTGCTTTGTGTGTGTGTGTGTGTGTGTGTGTGTGTGTGTGTGTGTGTTTAGACATTAACCTTGCCTTTCTTCAACAAGGAACAATCTGTCTTTGGTGTGCATAGTGGGTATCGGGGGGATATTAAAGGAGAAATTTGGCCAACAATTGCAGGATTCTTTTAGGCCAACTGTGAATATTCCTGTTAATTTTTGTCATATCATGCTTATTAGCCATCTCAAGAAGAAGGTAGGCATTCTTGCCCCATTTTTATAGGTGGGAAAAGTAATCCTGAGGGAGAGATTGGTGCCAAGTTTATATATACACCATGCAATGATGGAACCAGTACTTGAGATCTATCTTCTGATTCCAAGTTCAGTATTTATTTTCTTAATTACATCACAGCTTCTTCCTAGTTATCAGGAAAGTCTCCCATCTAACCTTTCCCTAAAGGTCCTCAGGTCTAGTTGACCACTTTCTGATGCCAATTGAAACTGTGGTATGAAAATGATAAATTCCTGTAAATATCTTACTCAGCACTGTGTCATGTAACATCATTTCTAATACATGTCGATAGCAAATTGGGGAATTAGAGGAATTCTTTGTTGTTATTTTTCATAAAATCATTTAAAAGCATTTGAGAGCCTTGGAAAGTGTGTGTGTTATTTTTCCATTTACAGTTCCCCTTAAGCTTTAAGTCTTAGTTATTTAAGGGTTGATTGACAAGTTGTTGATTTGCTTAGGTCTCATTTTAATTCTGAATTCAAAAGTTATTATTCTTTTTATATGCTACTGTGGTAGTCATTGGGAATGCCCAGGTAAGCAAAGGCATTCCCTCTCCCCAGTCAAGGGATTTATGATATGGTAGGAGAAGGTTAGTACTAGACACAGTTACCTAAATGCTAAACAGGGGCATGAGTAGCATGCCCGATAAAAGAATAAAGTAGGGCCTTTCCCAGGGGAAAGAGAAGAAATGAAAGAAAAAATTCAACAAACTAATTTTTAAAACAGCTATTCTACTACATTGTACTTCTTTAGAAAACTTGAAATATATGCATATATTTAATATATACACATATATAAATTTAATTGATCTAGATAGACATGGTAAGGAGCATAGCAATTCATGAAAATGAAAAAAAAGGCATCTTTGCAGTAACCATAGGAAAGCCACAAAAATTACTTTTTGTTTTATGTATGTAAGTAACTTTTGTGGATTTCCTATGGTCACTACAGAGATGCTTTTTTTATTTTTTTTCCATTTTCATGAATTGCTATGCTCCATACCATGTCTGGATCAATTAAATTTTCATACAGCTATGCTATTAAATGTCTGCATTCACGTCTAATATGCATATTCAGCCAACTATCAGTACCCAAATGATGGTGTTCTTCAATTCTTGTTTTATAGAGTTGTCTAGGTGATTTTACATCTGGTGAATTTTGTTATTCTGATTCCAAGATGACAAGCAATACAGTAAGTATAAAGAAACTTATAGAGTAGAAGAGGTCTGGGGCATCACATGACCCAAAGTGAGTATGTAGATGAGCCTAACTGTCCCTTTATTTTTTTTTAAAGACTTATTTATTTATTAGAGAGAGAGAGAGTGCTAGAGTGGGGGGAGGGGCAGAGGGAGAGAATCTTCAAGCAGGCTCCCTATTAAGGGGGGAGACTGACATGGGGCTCCATCCCATCCCCTGACCCATGAGATCATGACCTGAGCTGAAACCAAGAGTTGGACATTTAACTGACTGAGCCACCCAGGTGCCCCAACAACTGTCCCTTTAAATAACTGGAAAGGAAGAGAGTTCCACAATTTTCCTTGAAACAAAGTTGACTGAAAAAGGAATGTTCAGGCCATTTAGGGGGATGATGCTGTTACTACTATATTTTTGTCGTTATAATTCAGCTTTCCCACAACCCCACTGCTAGCTAAAAATATCTCAGCTCAGAATTCCTCTGCGTGGTTAGTGCTGCATTGGCATCTTCCAGGCTCAGAAGGATGCCAAACCAAATATGTTAGGTTTGGAAATATAGTGAATGGTTTTCTTGAGGCCCCATCTTTTTGTTTACTTCTGGGAAGTTAGTGGAACATTTAGTAGAGAAGAAAGAAAAGTCACCATGAAAGAAAAGGGGAATACTTTTTAAAAAGTCACAGTAATCCCATAAATTGTAGTTTTTAAAGGAAGATTCAGCATAATCCAGTGGTCAGAAATCCATAACAGAAGCTAGGAAGCTAGAGGTTTTGTTCTCCGTTCAATAGACATGTATTGATATAATATAGTTCTTTTGGAATATTTAAAGCTCCCCTAAAGATAGACATTTCTCTCCTAAACACCTCCACTCCACTGTTCTTAGAATGGAGAGGTGGGTTTTTGTTTTTCCTGTTTTGTTTTTTTGTGTTTTTTTTTTTGTTTTGTGTTTGAAATGGAGCAGGAGGGAGGCTCCAGTCTCAAGCAAGGCAGTCCCCTGGGACTTTGCCGCCACACGTTAACCCTCTAGCTGCCGCACACATCCCTCCTTCAGTTAACTTGCGGAGAGCTGCGCTAGGGCTGCCCTGCTCCAGCTCCAGCCCCGAGGTGACAGCGGGAAGCCTCCCCTCTTCCTCCTCAAGCCTTGTTTCTGGCATCCAAGGAGATCTGCGTTTCTGCTCTCCTCTGTCTCGAGTCACCAACGTCACTTGTCATTTCAGCTCGCCTTCCTGGGGGAAAACGTGGAGGTCAAGGAGATGATGACGACGTGGACTCAGCAGAAAGGAATCCCCCTGGTGGTGGTTACACGAGAAGGGCGTTCCCTCAGGCTGCAGCAGGAGCGCTTCCTGAGCGGGGTTTTCAAAGAGGACCCTGAATGGAGGGCCCTGCAGGAGAGGTGGCTGCTTTTCTTCTGTTCGCCTGGGTCACTTCATCTCAGCTTGCTCCTTGTTCCATTAGCTTTCTTTCAGTTTCTCTGGCAACGTGGTGGATGCTCTTTCTACACAGGAATCAGAGGCCCGAACTAGCTTGACAACAGACTTAAGGAGCTTCGGGCCGGCCCCGTCGGCCTTCCTGCGCAGCTCTGTTCTTAGTAACTCCTCAGCAGCCGCTCAGCTCTGATGCCGAGCGCGGTCAGTTATATTTCTGTTGAAATATGTCCTACTCTTTTCCATCCTAGATTTCTGGGGCCTCATAGTTGTGTGACTAGCGCATACCTAGAAAGTGTTACGATAGCTATACATCTTATCAGAAGAGAAAATATATCCCCTAGGCAGTGAATTACCTTCCTGTGAATCCTGTGAATTAAACCTCCTGTGGCCTTTTGTTTTTCAGTAACTGACTATAAACAGGATGTCTTAAAACATATGATGTGTCTTGGTAATAATGAAAGTAAATCCAATGAGCCGTACTATCATCTCGTTCACCAGCCTATCCTAAGAAGATGTGTTCAAGGCATTACTAAAATCAAGAAACACAACACTGTCCCCATTTCTGGGATCTCTTAGTTCTATCCATGAGATGAAGGAGGACAATTTGAAATGAAATAATACAAGTGCATCTGTACTGGCTCTTAGGATTGTTATTTCTTTTTCTAGGGATGTTATCTGTCTAATAACAATGCTAGAAGTTTTCTGAGACTCAGAAGCAAATTCAGCGTCTTTAACACAGAGAATATATTGTTTTTCTTTTCTATTTGGTCAGTTGCCTGTTTCCAATCCAACAGCAACTGTTATGCCACTTCTCCGTGTACACATCATTTCATTTTTCCATGTGCCCTTCTGAAGTCTGAACCTCAGAGAGCTTAAAACAATTTATATCTTGACAACACAGCCTGGAAAATTTAATGTTTGATTCATTACTGGGAAGGCGGGATTCACGCTTTTGTAACTTATCAAAATGTCACGAGGGAGTTCAATGGTGCGGATGGGCCAGGATAACAAATATCTATTACAGTGATCTGTATTTTTCCTCTGAGGCAGTATTTAGATGATTCTTATAAAATTCTTACCCTCCGAGTCATGCCTATCCAGACTCATGAAATGCTACTCTCCCTCTTTCTCACTCCCAGCTATGTTTATCGGGAAAAAATTCCTTTCCTTCTGGAGCCAAGATCAATCCAGATCATTCTGTTAAATCTTGGCAATATCTATGTGTCCATATTTTACCTTTTTGTATAAATCTTTCAATTGCTTTGTTGATTATCAATACTTTACGGGTTGGCAGGTAGATTATCCCTTCTGACCTTTTGCTAGATAAAGTCTGTGTATGCTGTTTCTTTCATTGTTTTATATTTTACTGAAGACCAACAGGTACATCCTCAATTATTCCTCTTTCTGTTTTATACCTGTTCATATTTTCAAGCATGATTTTACATGTGCAGGGTTACTATAGCTAATATGGCTTGGTGTGATAGAGGAAATGAATTCTAGAACCTGTTAGCAAGTCAAAAAAACACCAGCCGATTTCTGTTATTTACTGTAGTAGGACATTTGTAAAGTAACCAGACTACCATTGAAATTGGTCTTTTCCTCCAATCCATTCTGCTTTTCTGCTCCCTGGACTTGGCTGATCTGCAGATCCTAGATTGTGGCTTTGGTGACCACTTACAGTTACTTACCAGTGCAGGCGTTGGGTGTGGGTGGCTTTGTTGAACAAAAGGATAAGTGGAAATCATACTGAGGTCAGATCTTTATCTCTTGAGACTTTTCTTGAAGTTTTCTTTGGTTATTTGAATTAATATCAGGCCACCGGAGTTTTTGGAAATATGAAAGGAAGATTGGATTTTTTTTTTCTCTTGCTTAGAAGAAAACAATCAGCAGAATTTGTGGTATGAGATTTGGACAGCAGTTGGCACAGGTAATTGTGACAGAGGTCAACTAGGTATATATATAATCATAGAGAGGAATTTTTGCATACTCAGGGATCTGCAAGTTTTAGCCTATAAAATTTATAAGGCCACTGATGGTGTGAAAGATGGGCCATTAGGTACCTTTTACAGCCTGAGCCTCACGATGTGAACATTAAAAGGGCCATTCATTTAGTCTGTAACAATCTCTATTTTCTGACATAGGTACCTCTGGCATATTCCACTGACCTACTCCACGAGTTCCTCTAATGTGATCCATAGACACGTTCTAAAATCAAGGACAGGTAATGAACTCATTAGCCAAACAGGTGTTTCAATTCTGAAATTAAACTTGTTCTGGGTTATTTGGAGGAAAGGTACTATAAGTAAATCTCATAATAAAAGATTTATATTTGGGGAAGTTCTTATTTCTCCATTTATTAGTTACTAAAAGAGCCCTTTAGTTGGAAAATTTGAATTTTCTATTCAGTGGGAAGTTTTCTTTGTGCTTTTAGCATTTAGAGATAGGTTTGTATTTATATCAAGAAATGATGGCTTTCTATCTTACATCTGTTAAAAACTACTAACCCAATGCTTATGCCACAAGGCAAAAATATGTGTTGGAAAAAAGCATGCACTTTGGAATGAACTGGCCCTGGATTCAACTCCTCACTATGTCACCTATTAGATGTGTGACCCCAAGAAAATTTCTTTACTCCTCCTGAGCTTCAATTTTCTCATCTTATTTTGAATGGGGACTAAGTCTCACAGAACTATTGAGAAAATATGATAATGTTATTTTTGTCACATTGTATAGTGTCTGTCATATTAAAAATACATAATATAATTTTAATTTCTCTTTTGAACACCTCACTGAAATGTGAGAGGGTTTCCATCATAATGTCATGTTCAACCTGGAATCCTTATTTCATCCAAAATGAGGACTAGACAAATGGATCATCTATTTACATATACATATTTCAGTGACCAGTAACAAGGCCACAAATAAATTAAGTCAAATTCCCAATCATGCTTATCATCTGGTTAACTGGGACTCTTAGACCTTCAGAAACTGCTTTTGAGAACAAATTTAGCAGCCCTTTTCCTATGAATTAACTTATTTATTAATTTAATAAGATCATAATCCACAAAAAAAACCCATTCAGTAGACTATGAAAATGAATATCATAATGATTCTTCCAAAACTTTGTATCTTCCCACTGATTAATTAGTAATAGCATGAGAACTAACAGTTTTGGAGATGTTCCTGGTATGTATGCTGATAAAATGCTATGCCAATTTCCTCTTCCTAGATACTCTGGAATTATCTGAAAATACCAGTTGGGTGAAATTCAATGTGGATTCAAATGGCTACTACGTTGTCCACTATGAGGGGCGTGGATGGGACCAACTTATTACCCAGCTGAATCAGAACCACACACTTCTCAGACCTAAGGACAGAGTAGGTCTGATTCATGATGCATTTCAGCTAGTAAGGTAATGCAAAATTTCATCTGATTTCACAGGAAATAACTTATTCATAACCAGATATGCTAGATTTCAAAATTAAACGTTCAGTGTTGGTCATTCGTATGAGATGGATCTGAATGAAGGTCAAATACTGGCCACTTAGACCAGAGCCTACCTACTGATAAGGTGTTTTGACCCATACAGTATTTAAACATGTAATCTGACATTTTAAAATGTGGGGAAATTTATATACAAATCCTGACTTCTGGAGTCTCTTTTGAAAGTGAGATGTGGCAACTGTGGACCTTCATTCCCACATAGAGGAGGGTGCAGTGGCAGATCCTTCCTGAAGCCAGGTCTTTACTGTCCCATGCACCAAAGTCCCAAATGGTACATGAGTGGCCTGCTTCACTCACTTAGGGTGAGCATTTAAGCATTTAAGCTTTTGACTCCAGGTTTAAAATTTAGGTGAGTAGCTTGTGGTTTCACCAAATACCTATGTAATCTGTTGAACAAAAATGTAATATAGTCTTTTTAAAAAAAATTTTATTATGTTATGTTAATCACCATACATTACATCATTGGTTTTTGATGTAGTGTTCCATGATTCATTGTTTGAGTGTAACACCCAGTGCTCCATTCAATACGTGCCCTCTTTAATGCCCATCACGAGGCTAACCCATCCCCCCACCCCCTCTCCCCCTCTAGAACCCTCAGTTTGTTTCTCAGAGTCCATAGTCTCTCATGGTTCATCTCCCCCTCCGATTTCCCTGCCTTCAATTTTTCCCTTCCTACTATCTTCTTCTTTTTTTTTTTTCATATAATGCATTATTTGTTTCAGAGGTACAGGTCTGTGATTCAATAGTCCTACACAATTCACAGCGCTCACCATAGCACATACCCTCCCCAATGTCTTTCACCCAGCCACCCCATCCCTCCCACCCCCCACAGCTCCAGCAACCCTCAGTTT